TTCTAATTACTTTGGAAAAGTGTGGTGCGAATACTCCTCTGACAGCAACTTCTCCAGTGCTTTCATTGAAAATAAAAGGACTCCAACATCTCCTTCAAGTAATATCGATAGATGTGCCATGTTCCTGGAAAATAGCGTATCTACCTCAGAACTTGGAAGTTGTCTCTCCAATTTGAAGGGGAAGACACCTGGTCTAGACCGCATCTCATACCAAATGATCAGTGCTATGTCTAAGTCTAGTAAAAAGAAATTACTGGACCTATATAATACATGTGGAAACTGGCAACAGTTGTTCCAATTCCAAAGTCAAAAAATGTCTCCATCGCATCTGATTATCGCCCAATTTCTCTTTTATCTTGCCTCTGTAAGGTTTTAGAGAAGATTATGGCATCTAGATTATCTTGGTTTCTTGAATCCAAGAACCTGATAACAAAGCAACAAGTTGGTTTCAAGCGGGGTAGAGGATGCATCGACGCTCTGTTACATATTGATTATTTCACAAGCAAAGCAATTTCCGAACGAAATCACGTAACAATTCTCTCAATTGGTTTCGAAAAAGCATTTGACAGAGTTGGTCTTCATGTTATCTTAAGACTCTTGAAATCATGGAATGTTGGACCCAAATTCTTCAACTACATCAAATCATTCATGTCGCATAGGCGGTTCAAAGTTAGAATCAACAATCATCTTTCTGGTTCCTTTCCGCTAAAGAATGGCATTCCGCAAGGATCTCCTCTCTCTGTCACGCTTTTCCAGATTGCTTTCAACGAAATTAGCGAAATTCTTTGCCGTGTACCAAGAGTGGAACATTGTCTCTACGCGGACGATGTATACATTTTTACAAAAGAAAAAGACAACACGAAAGCAATCAACATCCTCGAATCTATTGCATGTGAGGTCTCCACATGGGCAAACTCGTCAGGAGCTATAATCTCTATACAAAAATCAAAAAAAATGCACATTTGTCCAAAACAAATGTGCGATGCAGGAAACCTACTGACGCATATTAACGACTTACCAGTACTAAATGTGCAGACGCTCCATGTTCTCGGGCTCACGTTTTCGCCTTCGGTTAAAAAACTCCCTTTTAACAAGGGTAAATTTCATACAGTACGTTGCTTGGAGAAGCCATGCGCATATTAACACTATCGCTTATCTTACCAAAATGCTTGTGTTAAGCAAGATTGACTATGCTTTGATAATTTATGGCAATAGCTGCAAATATAACGTCAACATCCTTAAACCGGTCTATCACCAAGCCGTTAGAGCAAGTTGTTATGCTTTTCGGACGACGCCCATAAATAATATTATAATTGAAACTGGTCTCCCAACTTTAGAAAATAGACTGTATGAGTTAAAAGCTAAAATAGTTCCTAAGCTTCTTAATTCAAACAAATCCATTCTCGGTGATGACGTAAGAAAGATTATTATTGCGAAGAAAATTCCAAAGTCACCATCTGCAATTGACCATTGTTTGTGCATCGTAAAGGAATTGAACATTCCCTTAAAAATTTCCCGCTCTTTCGGTGTTAAACCTCCCTGTATTTTGAAAGACTGCTCTTTTGACATCTCACTGTCTACGCACAAGAAAGAAGTTACTCCAAATTACGTCTTCAGGAATCTAATAGCTGAGAAAACCCAAGTATTGGACAATACTGGTTGGAATCTTTTGTACACAGACGGCTCAAAATCTCCTGGTCTGCCTCCTGCTTGTGCGGTGGTAGATGCTACAGGACGGGTTCTTCTCAACCACATATTTCACGAAAGTACTTCAACTTTCATAACCGAAGCCAGAGCTATCCTTCGCGCTGCCAACCTTGCCCATAAAAACAAACTCAAAACCGTCATTGTTACTGACAGTTTGTCTGTATTACAAGCTACCCGGAACCCTTCGACTTCGAGATGGAGCACCATCAACAAATTAAGGAATATAATTACTACACCCGACGGAAAAATTAAAATGTTATGGGTACCAAGTCACATCGGTTTACTGGGAAATGAGCAGGCTGATCGACCGGCAAAGTATGCTGCTTCTGCTCCTCTAATTATGGATGATGTCATGGAAAAGTTGGATCTTCAAAGATACATTGGAAGAAAAGTTAAAGAGAAAATTGCAGAAGGAAATTTACAATACCATCATCAACACTACTCTTGCATTAACCCTCAATTAACTCCACCTCTATATCCAACAAATGTTGAGAAAACCAAGATCCAAACATTTTCGAGAATTCGCCTTGGTCATACAATTGCAACTCACCAATGGAGGAGGAGGACGAACACTATTGAAAATGGCCCACTTTTTCGAGCATTCCCCGTATAAAGCCCTATTCCGAAAACTCGTTATGTGGAAAAAAATTGGAATTTTCAAAATTTCGCGGCCTTATTGGAGAAAAAATTAAAATTCGGTTCAGTATAATATACGGTAGTCGTGGTCAATTTTTTCCATTTTTGTACAGATGCTACAGCATTGCCCACGCAATATGCATTAAAATTTTTGTGCATTTACCTGCTATAATTTGCGAGTAATGAGCAAAAAACCGAATCGTACCTTCAACCGACCGATTTGGTCTATTTTCAATACCGATCTGCGTGCAAGCACTTCCACTGTTTCTGTCAAATTTGAAGTCGGTAGATTCATTTTTGCTTCCGGTTCAAGTAAAATCATGAAACGGCGGACGTGCTTAAATCGATTTAGAATTTCATGCTGATCAAGAATACATATACTTTGTGGGTCTCCGATGCTGTCTTCTGGGCGTTGAAAACCTTTTGACAAAATGAGTGTACTCCTCCTCCTTCGATGATCGGTATAAAAATATTTCCTTCTTTTTAAATCTTTTGAAATACATCGACATTACATCGACGTCTAAAAGAACTAAACAATCACATGAATTGGGTTGTGAACGACACTCTCAGCAATAACCAAAACATGTACCATGTTTCATATCTGACAACGTACGAAATCCATCCAATAGCAACAAGTAAGAAAGTAATAAGCCTTCGCTTATCGAACGAAAGAGAAAAGAAAGAAACTGCAAAACTTCAGAGTTTTGTCGTTCGTTAGTGCAATTATCTGAATGCAGTTCAGAAGGCATTTTGCCAACAGAAGTGCTTTTAACGAAAGTGAGCGAAAGGGTTGAATATTGCATTAGCAGGCGTTGATTTGACAATTTAATCACAACTAGTAGACAATATTTGTCCAAAGACAGTTTTTCTAAAAACCCTGCGACGTATCAATCAAATTCGTATCGACTCGAGAGAATTACTTTTAGCAAATACAAATACGTGGGGAAGTTGCAAAGAGACTCCACACATGCCGACCTAAAAAGACAATACGAGTGTAGATGCTACTCCTCATGAAGTGAAGTGAAATATACGTTTTTCCGGTAGTAACACGAATGGTTGGCTAAATAAAAATCGACTAAGAACTTTATCATTCTACTGTACTCCAAAATACTGTAACTTCTTAACAACTTATGTCTAACTCATAAGTGTCCGCATTTAATGATATGCTTTCCAAACGTCTTAGCATTATAAACGCTTTGGAAGTAATCTAAACCTCATCTCAGCAAAATATTAAGTAAATGCTTTTGATTTGCATTGTGGGAAATTACGTCTAAATCAAGAATCCATTGATAATTAGCCATCGTGAACAATGAATAAGTCAATAAAATATTTTTCAGGAATAATTATTTATTTCATATCATGTAAAAACATATATTATTTTATTTTTGTGAATATTTTATCTCTTTATCTTATAACAAGACTATTTTTGCAAATAAATGAATGTTTCTTTTTATTTTATTTTTTTACAATTTATAATCTCTCCCAAAGCCAAGCTAACAAATATTTTTTATTAATTAATGGATTTTTGAAATTAAAAGTAATACACATATCTTCTTATCAGACATTTCCTCGCAATAACGTGAACAAGAAAAACTAAAATTCTAAGAATAGATAAAACATAACTTTTTTATAGAAAAAAATACATTCCAAATTTAAACTGTTGTTTTTATGCCATAACATCTCTCGCTTAACATTGCGACAAAATTACGGCTGAATTTAAAGCACCGCTGTAACGTTAACAGAGGAAACAAAGCTTAATATGCGAAAAGAAGCACAATGTAGAACTTATTATTATTATTATTAATTTCGCCAGAAAAATAAATTCTAAACTCTTAAAAGCACTAGCATCTAAGCCTATTGGCTGTTATGGAAAACTCTACCGCACTTGAGATTCGAACCCACGACCATTGATTTGCTAGTCGAGATTCGTCGCCATCGGCTACTCAGGCGGATTAATGTAGAACTTAATTTGTGAAAAGAAGCACAATCTAGAACTGGGAGCTACAGGAACAATGTAACAAAGGAAAGGGAATAGCGCAATCATATAAACACGTTAAATCTTAATGGCACCAGTGAGGCAATGTCTGCTTATCCTAAAGATCTCAGCTATTGCTTTTGCATCGCGTTTTGGGTACACCAGTATTAGGAGCAGAAGGTTGGCAAACTTTATTCTAGCCAAACTCAAACACTACATACTTCTCAGAGACTGACAAATATTCAATACTATGAAGTACGTTTTTTTTTAATTTTGTTCGTTTGTTCGTTTGTTGCTAATATATATGTAGTCACTATTCAAGTAGGAGGATTAGGCACTTATCAAGTATTGGTTATTGTTTGAAATGTAGCAGCTGCAAGTGCTCCTAAAATGTTAGAGACAAAGATTAATAAGGTTGGGCAAATGTCTTCAAGACAGACGTCTGGTGTGACCCAGCGCCGTCCTTTCACAGTTTACTTAGAAGGGCAGACGCTTCTTATTTCCCTAATCGATAATTTATCTATTTTCAGATATCCCAGATAGTGAGATATCAAACATTACTATCTATTCAGCTATTGAAAGTATATCTTATTTTCTTTTAATCACAAAAAAGCGCACTCAGCAACTCTACTAAAAATCCAGTAAAATAGCTTTTTTCATAAAAACTTTCTTCCTCTTCAAGCATGGATCGTTTAAAAACGAACAGTAAGCGGCGGTTTCTCTTACTGGTCTACAGCCTTACCCGCACATTGTCATCTTCCCGAAGGATTAAAAAAATTGGTTACTCCACTGTTAGCCGGATTACTTGAAGAGAATCGCGAGAAAACTTGGTCTTTTGACCGTTTCTTTCAAGAGGTTACAAACATTTGTCGTAAGCGAGTAATACATGCATTTTATACGAACCGGACCACTTCGGTGGAAATCTTCTTAGAACCTGAAGAATTAATTGAACATTTTCGCGAGAGAATTTTAATGCAGACTAAAGTTCCAATGGAAAGGCAGATACTATTATTCAATAACGAACATTTAGAAAAAAAGTTACTCCCCACACCATTGGTAAATATAACAATAACAATGTAAGTTAAAAGAACTTATTATTTATTCCTTTCCTAGCTAAGGCATTTTCAGCGACGTACACGGAAAATCCGATAATCCTTTGCAGCAACGATGAAAATACATTTGCCCAAAAGTATCAACAAGTCAAAGTTAGCTCACAAACTTTGCGCTCATAATTCCTTACGTACTTACGAAAGCAATACGTCCTCTATGCACGAGAACTTTCAATAATGTCCGTATGCAATCACATCCCAAAAAAATGCATCCACAAGGCTCGCATATCCGTACTCCGTATTTATATTAATTTTGTCAATGTATAAAACAATTTAATTAATGTAAAATTTTGAATAAATATTGCAACTATATATAAATCATATAACTATATGTAAATCATTTAGCATTTAAGATTTTACCGAACCAGGTTTTGGGATCATATATAGCCACGGCAGTTAGCCGGGTGTACTCTAAAATTGCTTCCAACTTTTCCTTAAACTTCCAATACTATTTGATTTTTTACGGTATTGGTTTGGTTATGAGCTGTTTGTAGAAACTAATAGTCTCAATTCAATTATTTCATAGTGGTGCAATAAAAGCTCATCGCTGGATATATATACATACATAATATATATATATATATATACATATCAGTCTGGCAACTCTGTCGCGCGTACAGTCGTCTGTATTTTGTTTCGGTAATTAATATTTTAATTTTTTGTTGAATTACGTGGCTATTTTGCTTTATAGTGTGTGAATTTATAATATACTTTGAGAAGGAAGTGAGCGAATTCGAAGTAAAAGAAGTATTTTTTCTTTACGCTTTGATTCATCGGATTTTTGCAAACAAAAATTTTGAGCTCTGATATAAATCTCTCTTTTTTTTTTTGGTTTCCTCTCTTTTTCTCTGGTTATTTTTTCGGTGTTTGTAGTTTGTTTTGCTATTGATCTCTCGTTACAGTGTCAACGTAACAGAGAAGTTTTGCACAAATTGGTTGATAAATTTTTATGTTGAGGATTTTTTTTTGCAATTTGTCTGTCCACTTCTGTCTTTTAGACTGATATGGAGTGTTTATATACACCTTGTCGCGCAAAAACAGGCCCGGAATCAGATAGATTCCTTTCTTGTTGGCTCTACGAACGCTTTGGTCATGCAAAGTGTGCCGTATTCTCGGCCGTGCTGCTGATGCAGTCGCTGACCCTTCTAAAGGCTTAAGATGGTCATGTCCTGACTGTAGGCAGCGGGACATTGATTTTTACAAACTTTTCACGGAGACGCGAAATGGTTTCTCGGAATTGAGTAGAAATCTCGGATCCTTGTGGGAGAAGTTTGAGCTAATTAAGTCTAGGTTTGATGAGTATCGTTTTATTGAGCACTAATCTTCTACCCATGCCAGAAAAGTAACAACTCGTAGCGTAGCGTGTGGGACGTCACCTCTGAGTTCCTCTAAATCTGATCCGTTGGTACAACTAACCGCTCCCTCTAACTCTAAAATGAACATTAATGTTTCCGATATTGTTGACGGTCGGTAACATAATAGTTACAAATAAGCCGGCAAGTCCTTCTGTTTTAAGCTACGCTGAAGTGGCAAGGGTATCTCCGCCTAGAACCGCCACTCACTCTAATCAAGCGCCATCGCCTAAAAATAATAAAGAGAAAAAAAAATCATCCTCTCCCTCTGGCTGGTCGAATGTGAACGCCGGTCACCAGACTGGGCAAGTCGCACAAGCTGCTAGTGCAAGGGCGATAACGCCATCTATATTCTCCCCAACCGTGAACCCTCCTGTTCCAAGTAATGACAGTTGCTTGACGGCAGGTCCTCCGAGAAAAGCAAATTTTGGGTCAAGACTGGCACCTGAAACATCTGTGGATAATATAAAAAGTTATCTGGCGGCGAAAGTCCCATCAGTCAACTTAAAGCGCGTTAGCATTTTTAAAATGGCTCCTTCTCAATCTAGGGCAAACTCCTCTTTTAAAATAATAGTTCCGACAGAAAACAGTGATTTGTTTCCAAACAAACCATTGCGGCCAGTAGGATCCTTGATTAAAGAATTTATCCCTCAGGATCGTCCCCGTAATACCAAAGCAATAGTCTTGTCGTCTTCAAAAAACTAAATGTTTCTTCAGACCCATTATCTCTCATTTATCAAAATGTTAGGTGCCTAAACTCAAAAATTCGTTCTACTTTTCTAAATTCAGTGAGCATGGAGTTTTTCTGTTTGGGCTTCACCGAAACTTGGCTAAAACCCGATCTTCATTCGTCAGAACTTTTTCATAATTCTCTCCAAGTCTTTAGAAATGATCGAGGGAATCGCATTGATTGTGGTGTATTAATTGCCATATCTGCGTCAGTCCCGTCCAATTTAATTGAATTTCCCACTTCTTCTGACGTTGAATTTATCGCCATTTGTGCGAAAATGCCTAATAAACATCTATTTATAACCTGCTCCTATATTCCCCCAAATTCTGATATCTCCATTTACAAGAATCACGCTGCCCTCATCTGTGAAGTGGCCAAGCGGTCTAGACCCACCGATTTGGTCGTTGCATTGGGTGACTTCAACTTGCCTCAAGTCACTTGGTGTAACAGTCATAATTCTGGCTGTTTGATTCCTACTTCAACGTCTGATAGGGCTGTTGTATTCTTTAATGAATTGTTTGATCATAATTTGGGTCAATATAGTCGTACCCCTAATTGTAATGGTAGACTGCTTGATCTCTGCTTTGCCAATTTTCCCGAGATTAACGTAAATCGTTGTCCACCTTTTAGTTTACCTGAGGATCCTTATCATCCGTCAATGTACATTTCCTTTCATCATATGAATGTTGGTTCGTTGAACTGCCTTAATGAGCCTAATCAAACTTTTTCAAATAATTATTATGATTTTCATAAAATCAATATTATTACTGCAGATACCTTCAGTTCATTAAATCGTCTCTGTTTGCTAATCCTAGATATTTATTTAAATTTGTTAACTCTATAAGAAAAATATCCACATATCCCTCTCATGTTTCTTTTAATGGCTCTCATTCCTCGGATGATTTTGAAATCTCAAATCTGTTTGCTGAGTATTTCCGACGAAACTTTTCGACTGCTAATTTCGATTTAACAGCAATCTACCCATATCGTATAACTAACTCGGTTTCAATACCTAACTTGGTTATTTCGGAAGAAGACGTTTTTAAATGGTTGAGTTCTCTAAAATATACTTGTTCGCCTGGACCTGATCGAATTCCATCATGTGTAGATAAATTTTGCGCTGTCGAGTTATGTGGTGTGATCTCAAAGATTTTTAAATTGTCCTTGTATTTAGGTGTTTTCCCTTTATGTTGGAAGAGTAGTTTCCTTTAACTTGCGTATTAAGCTCTCGATAAGCAAAGCTATGTCCGCGCTTGGATTTATAAAAAGGTAGTCCAAAGAGCATGATGATCCCTACATTACGAAAGGGCTGTAAATGTGTTTGGTTAGACCTATACTTGAGTATGCCTCTGTTGCGTGGTCTCCTTCATATAGGTGCTACGTAGATTCAATTGAATCTGTTCAAAAGCAATTCTTGCTGTTTGCCCTTAGAAATTTTGGTTGGGATCCGTTTGCCTCTCTTCCTCCCTATTAAAATAGGTTGCTTCCGCCGTCCTTACTGTTTTTTGAGAAATGTAGGTTTGTTCTTGACGTTTCCTTTGTAATCAAAGTAATAAATGGAGCTATTGACTCGTCTTCATTACTGGATGAAATAAGCTTTACTGTCTCTAACCGCTTCTCTAGGCACTTTATCTTGGTTAAGCATAGTCAGTGTAAATATAATTATGAGCTGTTTAATCCGCTCAGAGTCGTTTGCAAGAAGCTAAATGAAGTCTACCACTTATTCTCGTTATCGGACCCTTTAAAATCCAACATTGCTTAATACGTGCGATTTACTCATGTCGTACTTAAACTAGCTTTTATCCTTAAAAAGTCGTTACGACTCGAAAATGAATTATTGTTAAATATTATCGGTTGCCAGGCTTATGCATGTTTGCGATGGCTTAGGGATTCATTTGCAATTTGGTCCTGTACCGGTTGTAAGTGTAGCTCTATGCTAATAGTGTACGTGCTTTTTTTTTTTTTCTTTTTTTTCTTCTTATTTGTTTTAATATACTTATACTAAGTTTTATTATTAAGTTTTGCATTAAGAGCCAATTGAAGTCGACTATTATTTGCTTAGTTGAGTTTCATGTATAAGTAGAATTAAAAATAAATAAATAAATAAATAACTGCAATATATCTTAAAATTTGTTGATGTTATATACTAGTTTGGGGAAAAAGCAATCCATTATTTTTTCGGTAGATGGCTGCACTGGTAGATTTCTCGTAAAGTATCGATCAAACAATTTCAGATTTATGCTCGTTGGAAAGGTGACATTTCGCAGTAAAAAAAATTCTT